TTGCTTTGCGCCATTTCCAAGCCACTTTTGGAAACGCAGCTGTGCTTTAGAAAACGGCGCAGACAAAGGATCGCGTGCAAGGACACAGTTGCGCCTTTTACCCAAGTGCATGCGTGGCCCCCAAACCACCAACTGGCACTGCCTGTCTCTGGTTTGGTCCAAGTCTCTTGCAGGGCATCTGAGTCACTTTGGAGGTGTTTCCCCGTCTGCCTGTCACATATTCTCCATTTAACAAACCGGATTACTGATCACCAGATCTCAGGGCCAATGGCAGTTAAGGAACGAGCTATCTACAAATACTCTCTTAAATTTGAGGTACAAACAAGCCAGGTTCAAAGCCAGAAGAACAACGAAAGGAGAACGTAGAGAAGAAGGTGATTAAACCAAAGAAAGCCGCATTCCCACAGCAGGCAAAATTTGGTTAGTTGACATCTCTGCCGTTTGTGTGTGCATCGCTCGGGATGTTGGTTAATTTAGGATTCACTGTGCAGTGTGAATCCAGGAAATAGGTTACAGGTAGTGCTCAATTTATGACCACTTGTTGTTAACAGCACTAAAAAAGTGACTTATGATCAGTCCTCACACTTATGACCATTGCAGCATCCACGGGCTAACATGATAAAAAATTTGGGCACTTGGCAACCAACATGTACTTATGAAGTTGTAACATCCTGGGCTCCCATGATCACCTTTATGAGAGCTTTGGACAAGCAAACTCAATGAAGGGAGTTGGATTAGCATAGCAGCCACTATGACTCATTTAACGGCTGCAGTGATTTGCATTAACAACCATAGCAAGCAAGGTTATAAACCTGGGTTCAATTCAGTCAACAGCCATCTTGCTTAGCGATGGGAATTGTGATCCCAGTCATGTCATAAGTTAAGGACTGCTTGTCTCAGGTTAAGCATGATGTGTGAATGTGGTTTTCTTCTTAGAGATCAAGAGATTAGCTGAACACCTTCAGTAAAGTGTTTGACCCATTAAAAAGCCAGCAGAGAAGGGAAAAAAGATTTAAGTCCACCTACAAGCTCTGGTGTTTGCTTTCTTTGGGAAATACTGGTGAATCAGGGTTCATAAAAATGATAAAAAGGGCCATTCTGCAATTTTTAAATCAAGCAATCTCAAGGCAAGTCACTCCTAAAAGGAAGCATGATCTAATTAACAAAATGAAATTTCATTTAAGCAGCGGAGTTTTATAGGTGATATTCTGATCGACGCCAACAAGGGCAAAAAAGGGACTATTAAAAAACAGGGCATGTCTTTGGAAAACCCGAATAGCATGAAATTAGTGTGAGGTTTTGGTCCTCTCCATCAGAGAGCTAAACCAATTTTCTCCTCCGACCACAGTGTCTTTCTGATCATTTACCTCCAGCCTCCAAGATATGGAATGTAAGAGTTAACTGAAAATTATTTCTAAAAAAGCAGAATGCCCAAAACACTGCTTGGAAACAGGAAAATAATCAAGGCTCTTTCCTTTCCTTTCCTTTCCTTTCCTTTCCTTTCCTTTCCTTTCCTTTCCTTTCCTTCTTTCCTTTCCCCTCTCCTCTCCTCTCCTCCTTTCCTTTCCTTCTTTCCTTTCTTTTTTCTCTTTCTCCCTCCCTCTCTCCTTCCTTCCTCTCCTCCTTTATTTCTCTCTGCTTTATTTCACACACCAAGTGGGTAGAAGCCTTGAAGCCAGCTTGTTTACCCTTATCAACTCTACAAGAAAATCTGTCCAACAGCAGCCATCTGTTCCAATCAAAGCGAAGGCAGCACAACCCGGTGCCATCACACCCCAGAATCAAAAGAGGGTTCTAAAGGAGAGGCAGTAAGTTGTATTGGTTATACTGGTCAATCCACATTCAGCTATGACTTTGAATTCACTCCTTTGCAGAGTCCTTGTTGTGGGGGGTGGGGATAAGAGGCAGAGTTATGCCTGCCCCCGCGCCTTGAATTATTATGTTATGAAAGGTGGGGTTTTCATCTCATCAATAAAATCACTGGATGCCCCAAAATTCAGTGCTCCAAAAACATTCTTTCTCCCAAATCAACGGCCGTTCAGATCCCACCCCATCCTTGTGCCAGCTCAAAATTATCGTGCATGGTTGCACATTTGCTTTCCAGCCCATGCAAATTCTTTTCAACATCAAAAGAACGAGATAAATTAAAGGCGCCAGTCCTGTCAAACCCTTCCCACACACACACACACACACACACTTACTCACTCAAACTCCCAAGGAGAAGGGGCGAGAAAAAATGAGTAGAAGAATTTAAGAAGAAAGATTTAGTTTAAATCTGGGCACCAGGATCGGCATTGCTTCCTCTAACTCAAGTCCATCTTTATGTCCGGGGATCCAGCCCATAAACCCACCAAGCCAGCCACAATGGCCAATGTTGACTTGACAAGTCAATGTTGACTTAAATTACAGGCCCTCCAAAACTCTCTAGAGTATGTCTGTGTTTATACCCTTAGTCCTTGAGTTACGACCATGTTGCTAAGTTTTGTTAAGTGGGTCTGCCCCATCTTACGCCTTTTCCTGCCACCGTGGTTCAGTTGATGTTAAGTCAGTCACACCGTTGTTAAGTGAACCTGGCTTCCTTCCCCATGGACTTTGCTTGCCAGAAGGTCGCAAAAGTGGATCACGTGACCCTGGTGGGGGGGGGAACACTGAGACCGTCATAAATATGAGTCAGTTTGCCAAGTGTCTGAATTTTGATCACATGACTATGGGGGCTGCTGCAAAGGTCGTCGTAAGAATGAAAAAGGGTCATAAGTCACGTTTTTTTCAGTAAACAGTCACTAAATGAATTGTTGTTAGTCAACGTGTCAGCGTGACACAAGGACTACGAGCTCAGAAATAACCCATAGAATAGGCCAGATGAATGAAAAACTCTTTTCTTTCTTCAGCACTTAAAAGACTTCTGAAATGCAAAGACTTTATAATAATAATAATAATAACTTTATTGTCATTGTATGTGTATACACAGTATACCCTACACAATGAAATTCACTTAACACCCAAACAAAGACCAGATCCAACACGCATAACAATGTTGGGCGATATAATATAATATAATGTATGTTGGGCGAATTCACAGCTACTAGTCTGCTACAGTCCTACGGTATCGAGAAGCCAGAAATCAGATTTTCGACCTGCATCTGTTGAGGGAGGCTATTCTAGGAAGCTTTGAAGAGTTCCCTTGTCTTTTCCCAGCCATTTTCGCCGCATCTTGCTTCCTTATTTTCTGAGACACAAAGATTAGCAGGGAAGAGGACCTCAAGAAAGTTAGATGCTATCTGAGAAAGTATGTCTTCTTTCAGAGAAATTTCCCCTTCCCCCCCCTCAAAAAAAATTAAAGGGTCATGAGATTATATGCTTTGATGGAGGAAAAAGCCAAGTAAAAGCAGGAAGTTAAACTGTTTTACTTTGGCTAAATTGGAATTCGATTTACCTATACTGTTTAAAAGCAAAACCCAAAATCAGGCATCGTTTCTCCAAAGCACCGGAAGGCAGGACAAGAAGCAAGGGATGGGAAATCACAAAGGAGAGAAGCAATCTAGAACTAAGGGGGAATTTCCTGTTAATAGTTAAAACAATTAATCAATTGCCTCCAGAAGTTGTAGGTGCTCCATCCCTGGAGGTGTTTAAAAAGAGACTGGACAGCCATCGGTCCGAAATAGGATAAGGTCTCCTGCTTGTGCAGGGGGTTGGACTAGAAGACCTCCAGGGTCCCTCCCCGCCCTTTTATTCTAGGTTCTATGTTCCTATTCAAGCCATACCTTTTGTATAAAGAGCCATATTAAATGGGTTGTTTAATTCCCTGTTATAGTATCAGAAACAAAAGAAATATTTTCCGAGGAAAATAAATGTCTCTTTTATCTGGATATTCACCCATTAAACATTCGCCTTCCTGAATGAAGAACAGAAGAACCAAACTTCAGGTCCAGTTTACAGTCAAAGTTAAAACAAAAACTTCAGTTGTCCATTTAATTAAGTGAAGGGCAGTTTACTTTTGAGTGATGGCTCTATGACCTTAGTGATAGATATAAAGATTGGGCTGAAGGAGATTCAGAAAAGCTGTCGCAGTTCCTGCCCTTCTCAGCCACCTCTTTCTTTCTTTTTCTTTTTCTTTTTCTTCTTTTCCCCTTTTCTCTTTCTTTCTTTCTCTTTCTTTCTTTTTCTTTCTTTCCTTCCTTCCTTTCCCTTCCCTTCCCTTCCCTTCCTTTCCTTTCACCTACTCTCCTCTTTCTTTCTTTCTTTCTTTTTCTTTCCTCCCTCCCTCCCCCTCCCTCCTCTATATATATCTATATATCCCTCCTTTCTTTCTTTCTTTCTTTCTTTCTTTCTTTCTTTCTTTCTTTCTTTCTTTCTTTCTTTCCCTTCCCTTCCCTTCCTTTCCTTTCCTTCCCTTCCTTTCCTCTTGTCTGACTTCTTTCATTTGTTCGTTCTTTCTTTCCTCTCTTCCTTCTCTGCCTGCAGATTGACCTGGCTAGCTTGTTCTCCTGGCGGAGATCCTCTGCATCTCTTCTGTTTCCACCAGCTCCGAATTTCTTTCCTAGAGCCCAGCTTAATTCAACACTTCAAAAAATTTTTTTAAAAAGTTAAAGGAATAAATCAAGCCTTTACAATCCCGAGGCCCATAGACCGACAAGGAGCAGTTAAGCAGCTCCTAAAAATATTTTTTTAAAAAAAAACAAAAAAACAAAAACAAAAAAAGTTTAACCCCTATCGGGGTTAAACTTTTGATATATATCAGGATCACTAAAACTGAATTAACAAGCGGCTTGTTTGAGATTCAGAATGGCAAATTTATAAGATCCTGTCTAAAAGTTTCGGCCAGTCTGATCTATAAACCTAACCTAAAACTCCGACATGCCGCTGATCCCACATCCGATAACGGGAGATCCCTTCCCGCACACAGGATCTAATCTGCAACGCCCCAAATCTGCAGCTTCCCAGACTGGGGAGTAGGAGTTGGGTCAGGTTCAGGAAACTGCAAAAATTGACACAAGATGCGCTTTTGTTTCAAAGGAGAAATAAACAGCAACGGGTTTATTATTCTTATTTGTCCAAGAGATTGAATACAACAATTTAAAGACCACATAAAATCAAAGCGATGACTTTGGAAAGGCTCAAAGGGGGGGGGGGGAATAAATTGGAAAGGGGACTCTATTTTACAAGAAAAATAAAATAAATCTCACCTCTTTCCCCACTTTAAAAGAGAAAAAAAAAACATTTGGTTTTCCCACCCTCACCTCTTCTTCTTCTTATTCCACTTTTGGGAGGCAGGAAATATTCAACAAGGAAGGGAAAAATAAATTATTTTTATATATATAAAAAGACTAACTTTAAAAAGGAGGGGTTTTTTAATGGAAGTTTGTACATAAAACTAAAGAAATAAGAGGAAAAGTATAATTCATTTGGCAGCTGTGGGGAGAGGGGGGGCTGAGAGAGGAATAATCCAGTGACCTCAACTTTAAATATTATATTAACGGCCCTCCACGGAAGCCTAATTCAAAATCCACACATATTTACAACACGATAAATGGAATAATCCCCTCCTTAAAACAAAACCAACCAAGTTTTACCAAGACATATACATTTATATTTATATAGCATATCCATTATTATTCTCCCCTTTTCAAAAATGTATAAACCGTCCTTGTGGAATCAGTGATTTTATATTGCCCACGATCGCCAACATATTTAATATCCGTTTTTGACTCATCTATTATTATTAATAATAATATTTCTGTTCAAAAAAGCCCGCACCCACCTCACGTTGCTCTTTTTTCGTTTCTAGTGTTGGCTGTTTTACTCCCCCCACTCCCGAACAGAAATAACTGGACTGGAAAGATGAGTCGTGGGGGGGGGGGGAATCGAATTTTAGGGTCCTTTTTATTGACTTTGGACGGGAAAATGGGGGAGGGGCGGTTTTTTTTTTTTTTTTGTCCTTTCTTTCTTTTTGCCCGTAAATCTGTTTTGGGGAGAGAGAGAAAAAAACCAGAGTCAATTTGGTTGGCTTTCCCCAACTAATTTTTTAAAAAAACAGAGGCCTAATTTTCCTTCTATAGTCCGCCTGCTGAGTTGGGGGCGAGGCCCCCTTTCCCGGGTCTCTCTGTCTCTCTGTTTGTCTGTCTGTCTGCTTTTAACCCGGAGGCCGGTCAGTATTTAGCGCAGTCGTAGGAATAAGGGGCGGAGTGGCGGTAAATGGAGGGCGGAGCCCGGTAGGACAGCTCGCAGGTGGAGGGGCTCACCTGTTGCTCGTTCAGCGCCGTCGAGGTCTCTAATCCCAGCCGGTGGGTGTTGAACATTTCCCGCACGTTGGGGAAACTCTGTTGCTGGGCGCCGAAGGTGTGGCTGGGGAGAGGCTGGTTGATCTCCGACGCGTGGTTGAGGTACCAGGAGGCGGCGGCGGCCGCGGCGGCCGCGGCGGCTGCTTGCCCCGGGGCTTGGTGATGCGGGAGTGGATGATGGTGTTGGTGGTGATGCGGGGGCTGATGGTGGTGGTTGCTGGGAGGCAGGGAGGTCTCCTGTTGCTGCTGCTGTTGCTGCTGGCCCCCTTGCGCCAGATTCAGGCCGGCCAGGGGCGAGGGGGCGCCGTTGACCACTTGGGACGGGGGCTCCGACAGCGAAGCGGCGGCCTCTTCCAGCGGCCCGGCGCCGCAGAGATGCGCGTTGCGCTCGCCCGTGTAGAGGCTCATGGCGCGCATGCTGCATTGGTAGCTGCCCCCGGCCTCGCCCAAACCCCCCTGGCTGCAGGCCTGGCTGTAGATGGACGAGGCGGGCGCCTGGCCGTAGCCCAGAGGCAAAGAGGAGGCGCAAAGGCCCGGCGGCGTCCTGCCCACGGGGCTCAGCTCGCCGCCCGGAGAAGTCCGCAGGGTCATGATGTTCTCCACGCTGAAGCCCGGCAAGCCGTTGGCGCCGGCGGCCGGGTGGTGGTGCGGGTGAGGGTGGGGTTGGTGGGGCTCGCCGGGCAAAGAGCCCTCGGTGGAAAGCGAGGGCGTGGAGGCCACGCTGCGCGGACTATCCTGCAGGCCGCTGCCGCTCTCCGGGCTGAGCGTCTCCACTTTGGTGATGACGGGCAGCTCGGGCGAAGAGGCCTCGCTTTTAATGACCACTTTCTTGTCCGACGAAGCCGGGACGGGCGCCGAAGCCGGGGGCAGCTCCTTAGCCAGTTCGGAAGGAGCCTTGATCGGCTCCTTGTGGTGCTTCTCCCGCGGGGCCTCCTCCTTGTCCTTGGAGACGTCTTTCTTCTTGAAGCGCCTCCGGCGGCGCAAGAAGGAGCCGTTCTCGAACATGTTGTAGGAATCGGGGTCCAGCGTCCAGTAGCTGCCTTTGCCCGGTTTCTTGTCGTCGCGGGGCACCTTGACGAAGCACTCGTTGAGCGAGAGGTTGTGGCGGATGGAGTTTTGCCAGCCCTGCTTGTTCTCCCGGTAGAAGGGGAAGCGCTCCATGATGAACTGGTAGATGCCGTTGAGCGTGATCTTCTTCTCCGGCGCGTTCTGGATGGCCATGGTGATCAGCGCGATGTAGCTGTAAGGAGGCTTCACCAGGTCCTTCGGAGCCTGGACCGGCTGGTGGCCCGGGTAGGGCCCGTACGAGCGTCCCAAACCGGCCGCGTACTGCTCCGGGTGGCCGGCGTAGACCCCCAGCGAGCCGGCCATGCCTCCATAGGTGCCCGCCGTCCGGTAGTAATTCTGCTCGCTCAAATAGGGTACCACTCCCAGAGCGTTGGGATCCGAGACGGAGTAACGAGCCTGCATGGCTGTCCCAGCTCCGAGAGGGCTTGGAGGCCTCCCGCCGCCCCCGCCCAAAAAGTCAGGTCGTAGAGAAGGAGCCGGCAGGAAAGGCAGCCCCTCTGCCAACGGGGCGCCCTGCTCCGGAGACCCCCGAGCGTTTCCAGACTCCTCCACCGAAGGCCGGCTCCCTCGCCTCTTGGTTAACAGGCCCGAGCTGAGCCCGCTTGGTCCATATTTATATCTTTGGCAAAACGGTCGGGAAGCTCCAATCTCGGCTGCTCCTGGCTCGCTCGCTCGCTCTCCTCCTCCTCCTCCCTCCCTCCCCCCGTCGTAAAAGGGCAGGAGGAGGGCGACTGTGGCCTGGGTAAAAGGATGGAGGGAGGGAGCGGGGTAGATAGAAACCCCGGCAGGTCCGAAATATCTAATCTGCTCGCGCTGCCCCCCAAAAAGACGAGGGTGGGGGAAAAAATTCTCGCAGAAAAAATTAAAATAGCAGACCAACGAAGGAGGACGGAGGCAGCGCGCTGGCTGGCTGGCTGGGTGGCTGGGTCCGCGAAGCTTTTGACTCGGCCTTCCCCGTCCCTTCCGGGCGAAAGTGAAGCGCCGGCGGCGTGTAAACAAAAACAAGCGCACCGAATCAAAATAAACGAGCGTGCGCGCCTCTCCGGAGCCTCGGCAGCGCCCCGCGCGAAGCGAAGTCCCGCATCCAGGGCCGGGGAAAGTTTTCCAAACTTCTCTTGGGCAAGGCCAGTTTTGACTCCTCGCTGGCCCCTCCCTCCGCCGCCGTCCAATGGCAGCCGGCTCGGGGTCTGGCTCGGCCAATGGGCGAGGCGGAGGAAGGCGCCGTGAGGACACCGGGATTCCGGGGAGCACCCCGGGGTTAAGCGTGGGGCTGGGGAGGCCTCTCCGGGCCCCTCGGAGCTCTTACCGGGGAGAAAGAGGCGAAGGGTGGGAGAGAAGGCAACGCTAGCTCAAGCCGTCCTTTGGGGGACCAGAGCGGTCCTTCCTCCTCTCTGCCCCAAAGTGTCACCCTTATTAAACCATCATCATCCTCATTAACCGCCGTAACGATAAACCTTCCTAATCGGGGATGGAATCTCAGCCGCTCAATGCGAGGCGGAGGAAAAAGCGCAGAATTGGGCCGCCCCGATTTCTGCCAGCGCGAAACTTTTCTTAAAAGAGGAAAGAAAGGTTCGGCTTCAAGGCCAGCCCGCCGGGTTTTCCCACGGGACCCCGACCGTCCTCCGCGGGGAAACCCCGATTCTGAAACGTGCGCGAGAGAGCGAGCGGCCAAGGGTCTTCCCTTGCAGGGGTCGGCTCCCGCAAGGAACCCGAAGTCGCTCCGCCGAAGTTGCTCAGTTGGGGTGAAGAATTCCGGAGAAGCTTATTTAGCACTTCGGTTCTAAACTCAATTAACACCTCCATCCTAAATACCTGGAATTAAGGGATGGCGGGGGAGGGGGGGCTCCTGCCGAGGAAGGGGGGGAGGAATTTCGCGCAGAGGATCGCGCCTGGAACGAAATGCGCTGATTAGTTTTTCTTCTAAGGGGGCAAAGAGGTTTAATTGCTTGCACGGATAACGGGGAGGAATATTATTTAATAAAGTTGACCTGCATTTCTTCCTCATCGCCTTTTCCCCCGCCTCCCCCCCCCCCCCCACGGCCCCCTCCACCTCTTGATTATTCCATTAGAGACCCTCAAGGGTCGGATAATTAACCCGGTGTGATTTTCGTGCCTTTTGCGAGTTGGCAAGATCGCCATTCGTTTGGTTGGCAAAAGAGGGAATCGGACGGAGGTAGAGAAAAGTGGCGGCTGAAAAAGTATTTTACTACCTCTTGAGCGTCTTTTTTTTTTTTTTTCCCTGACGGGGGAAATCAGGAGAAACTGGACCGGAATTTTTGGAGGTCACCGTATTCCAAACTCTTCCCTATATTTTTTTCCCCATTTTTTTAAAAGAACTTTTCCTGGCTCTTTAAGCAACGAGCTTGGGCGAGGTGATGGGAGCGCTCGGAGGCGCCTTCCTAACCTAGGAATATTGTAATTGTGATCGTGCACGGATTGTGGCCCAAAATTGCAATTTTTTTTCCAAAAGGGAGGACAAGATGAAACGGGTGGAGGCGATGCCCGATTGCTTTCTGAGGGTTTCCCCAATTTTAGAAGCAGTGGTTTTAATCCACTAAGCGCATGCTTCCAAAAAATGGAAACCAATTTAAAATGGTCTATTTAAAATGTCTTTTAAAATGTTTTTATTTATAATAAAAGGAACGGGTTTTTTTTTTATTATTATTATTCAGGAGTCCAGAGTGGTTTGTATTTGGGGAAGCGAAGCTGGGAAACTACAACGCTTCAGTAACGAAAGTTACAAAGGAAAAAAAAAAAAACCAGCTTCGGAAAAACTGACTTCTTTTGAGGAAGAACTCAGAGGAATATTCTTATTTTGAAATGCAGGGAACTGAGGGACAATTATTTAAACTAAAAGGAAGTTTGCTTGAACTGATTGGAAAATCCCTTCAAAAAATAAAGTAACTCTTTTTCGATTTTTCTCACTTGATTTTTTTTCCCGGGGGTGGGGGAAGAGAGGGGGGGCGAGGAGGCGTCCTTCTATGAAAAGACAGAGCACAGGGATGAAAAAAAGTTAAATAAATTAGTGATGTTAAATTAAGTGTCAAGAAAACGTTATGTTTGCAGTGTTCTTAAAGGCTTTGTCTGCTCTATTTAATGATGATAAAGATTAATTCAACCTTCCAATGTCTAATTAGATATTGGTCGAAAATATGAATGAAATAATTGGTCCGGTTTGGGAATTAAACTAGAAGGGAGAGGCAGAAATTGGGGGGGGAGATCTATTTATGCATTACTTCTTATCATAATCACGCACTGTAAAGAAAGACTTTATAGAATTTTCGAAGGACAAAGTAACTTTTCTTCTCTTGGAGAATAAATGCTCTTACTTGCTCTACCTGCATTCCTGATGGCTAATTTACTGGAAAGGACATTTGTATTAAATTACCCAAAATAAAAGAAAGTTTATTTATTGCTTTCTCTTAAATTACACGATTAAGAAAAAAAAACCTCTTTGTCTTTTTAAATAAAATCCCTGCAGACTCATATGCATTCACATAATTATTGATCTTAAATGACACCATCCTGTCTTTGCAAATTAAAAATACGGGGAAACGTGGCCCTTTCGGCGAAATTGGTAAAGTCTTAGGCTCAAACTTTCCCCTTCTTCGGGGATGAAAAACTCGGAGCCTCGGGTCAACGGCGTTTAGCATCTTTACGCGCATCGCTTCCTTTCCATTCCCTGCCCTGTGAAATTGTTTCAAGAATGCAAAGACCTCAAAAGTTATGGGCGAGGACAACCGCTCCGCTTTGCCCCCCTCTCCCCCAAAAAAACCTCTGGAAATAGGTAAATGCAGCATAATATTGTCAGGAGCCGTCGCGATTTGTCAGCAATCATCACTCCCTGGAGTGTACTGCCCTCTAGAGGTCAAAAGAATGAATTGTAACCTTTTTGGGGGGGGGGAATAAGTTGCGTCTCTTTGAAGTCAGCGACGCCTTGTGTATGGACTGTGGTAGTACACATACACACACATGTATTTGGGTATAATGCTGTACACGTTAATAACGGACTCAATAGTCTCTTTAAAGAGAGCAGGCTCAACCATGGCAACTTTAAAATATGTGGAAGGATGGATTTAACTTCCACCTGCCTATTAAAGGTAAAGGTAAAGGTTCCCCTGGCACTTATGTGCTAGTCGTTCCCGACTCTAGGGGGCGGTGCTCATCTCCGTTTCAAAGCCGAAGAGCCAGCGCTGTCTGAAGACGTCTCCATGGTCATCTGGCCGGCATGAGTAAATGCCAAAGGTGCACGGAACGCACCTTTTCGATCGACAAGCTCAGCGTCTTAGCCATTAGGTGACTGGAAAAAAGATTCATGTGTTCATGTAATAAACACACAAGTGTGTGCATGAGTGAGTGAGAGAGACAGACAGACAAATAGACACCGAGCCAGGATATGTGCAAATAAGCATTGCGGCCTGTATTGGCATCTGTACAGAGCAAAGCCTTGCGAGTTTCACAAGATGAACATTCCACTATGTTACAAAACAGGACTGCACTTTCCCAAACTCTTAGCCAGGCAAGAGGTTGTGAAGATAGTGGGGAAAAGATGGAGTAATTTGTGCCCGCTCCCTCAAAAAAAAAAAATAGGGCTAACTTTGAAATGGGGAAAATCGCCTACCTCGGCATGCCCTCCTCCATGGGAGAGCTTCCCATTCCGAATCCCAGGCAGCATGGCTTACTACTACCCCATGAGGACTAGCAACTCAAGGAATGGAGCAAACCCCAGTAATCCAATTCGAGGAGGCCATTAATAGAGAGAGGAGTTGAATTCAATGGGCTTCCTTGAGATGCCTGTCCTTCTGCTGTATCTATTAACTCACAGAGAAGGAGCATGGATGCTTTGAGGAAGGAAGGAAAGAAGGAAGGAAGGAAGGAAGGAAGGAAGGAAGGAAGGAAGGAGGGAGGGAGGGAGGGAGGGAGGGAAAGGTTAAATGAAATTAAGGGAAGGAATGAGGGGAAGTAAGTAAGTTGAAATAGGAAGGAAGGAAGGAGGGAGGGAGGGAAGGGTTAAATGAAATTAGGAGAAGGAATGAGGAGAAGTAAGTAAGTTGAAATAGGAAGGAAGGAAGGAAGGAAGGGAGGGAGGGAGGGAGGGAGGGAGGGAGGGAAAGGTTAAATGAAATTAAGGGAAGGAATGAGGGGAAGTAAGTAAGTTGAAATAGGAAGGAAGAAAGGAGGGAGGGAGGGACGAAGGGAGGAGGGAGGGAGGGAGGGAAAGGTTAAATGAAATTAAGGGAAGGAATGAGGGGAAGTAAGTAAGTTGAAATAGGAAGGAAGGAAGGAAGGAAGGAAGGAAGGAAGGAAGGAAGGAAGGAAGGAGGGAGGGAGGGAGGGAGGGAGGAAGGGAGGGAAAGGTTAAATGAAATTAAGGGAAGGAATGAGGGGAAGTAAGTAAGTTGAAATAGGAAGGAAGGAAGGAAGGATTGATTTAAGCTTCTCCTTTCCCGAAAATCTAGAGGTTCGCAGGAGGAAATGATGCTCGCCCTACAGACAGGCGCCCCTTTTAATCCTGCCCAGCCGTTCTCGGGAGGCACTGAACGGCAGGAGACGCTCGGTGGCTTGTCCCCCGTCGGCTGCCGTAGTCAGAGCAGACACGTGGCCGAAGGAGCTTTAGAGGAGGCGCTACAATGTAACCGATGGATGAAGCGCTCGGATACCATGTAACTGACTTCCGAATCTTTGCTCTCGCTCTGGAGGTTGCTGCAGACAAGGAACATGGAGCGGACGGGAAGCTCCGGTAAGAGGAAGGATTGCAGAGGAAGGGAAGGGAGGCAAAGGACGGGAACCGATCTTCGGCTCGGCAATCAGAAGATTTGGGGACTGACCCTCCTCTCTGCCCGGATTTGGGTGCATTCTCACCAACTAGCCTGCTACTGCATCGGAACTGTGCAGCCCCTCTCTGTGAACTTAGCTGATGGTTGCCTGAGTGAGGTGGCTTCCATTAATTCAGAATCAGAATAGAGCTGGAAGGGGCCTTAGAGGTCTTCTAGTCCAACCCCCTGCTCAAGCAAGAGACCCTGTCCCACTTCAGACAAATGACTGTCCGGTCTCTTCTTAAAAGCCTCCAGTGATGGAGCACC